CAAAACGTTGCGGTTTCTCGCCGCCGGAAAATATACAACCTACATGCCGATTCGTACACGTGCATCGATCGAATAGAGATCCCAAAAAAAAAAATAACTTTATCGTATGACTTACACGGAAAGAACGATTTTGTTGAAGTATCTAAACATTTGTCCAGATCTAAAGCTAATTATATTATTGGATCATCAAAATGTAAAATAATTATGTAGCACGATAATATTGCAAGAATTGTTAATATTACAGCGATAAATTGAATATTATACATATTATTCTGATATCCCAACCAAATTATTTTGAGATATCTATATTTGACCAAATTTTTTTAGATACTTTAATATTCTTATTTCCGTGTAAATCAAGCATGATGGAAAAAATTGAATAAATTTTATTATCTCTAATTAAAGATATACAAAAGTCATATGATACTTCAAAAGTTAAAATTTAGATTTGCAATTTATAATTGCAATATAATTGAATTCACAATGTGGAACTTTTATTATAATGTCAGCTATTATGGAGAAAATTTTATATGATTGTATGATAAACTTAAATATTGTATATTAAAATTTTTTATTAATTTTACAATATTGTTACATAATAGCGAGTTACATTTGTGGATATGTTTTCAGGTTCGCAGCAGCGGTGTAAGAGGCTGGTTGGACGCATCTCACGAGACGAACAATTGGCTGAAATATATTCGAAGTACTGCTAGCTCACACGCAGTGAACATGCGCCATGTGCTCATCGGTGGTCAGGTAAGAAAAATTCACAATAATCAAGTAACGCAAGTGAAAGCTTAAAAAGTTTAGCGAGATGCTTTCGCTGCCAGTGTAAAGATCAATAAATGATTTGCCTTTTATTCTTTTTTTACCATTCGTTTACTCTTTAATTTTGATCTAAGTATATCGTAGAAATTAAAAAGACAACTTTCGAGTTGTAGGCTGAAAATAGCAAACATGGACAATAATGTTAATAACCAATTAGAATCGACATTTGCTTATTTTGTAACCCACTTTATAGCATAAAACACGCGTACAGATCAGTGGTAAGATAATTTTATGAAAGAGTGAATTATTGGTATCACTAATCGACATCTGCAATCTTTAGCTTCGATCCGAGTGCTTTGCAAAGCACGCGTTATTAAAAAAGATAAACTATTCTCTTTTCGCTTCTCGCGTGCAAGTACATGAAGGAATTATTATGCATTAAAATTATATTATAACTAGGAATGCTAGAAATATTTGCAATTATTGATAATTTAGAAATTACCACACTAAATATGAATTGTTTATTACATAATTTATTTTGTTATGAGATAATAAAAAAGTGAATTTGTTTATTTAATTGTTATAACTTTAAATACTATTGGCAGTAATATTAACAAAAAGATCATATGTAATGCAATAGGCAAAATTGACTTTTAGGCATTTGGTAACGAGTTTCTGATTCACCCTCTACTCTATTTAACATTTAGACACATCTGACACTCGATCGACAGTTGCTGTTAACAGGAAATAATAATTACATACCGAGTAGAATTCTAATTTGCGCACATGTTATTGATTGTTAAAAAGCTTATTAGTACTTTACTGTACTTTAGCTTATTAGTACTTTAACTATTTTATTGTTGTGCGTATTTCAATCATCTGTTTCATATGACTATCTTCCTATGACATATGCGCAAAGTTCTTAAAAAATATACACAAATATAAAAAAATTACGATATAATAAAATAATATACTAAAAAAATAAGACTTTAAGAAATTCCTTATCAAACACATCTTAAGAAAGAATATCATAAAATTTATCCCCCTTTCCCTCCAAAAAATTAATTCTCTCAAGTCAAATAGATTTCAATCTTGCAAAATTATTTTAATAAGATAATATTAAGAGCAGATATTTCCTCTAATCGTTTTCAAAAGCACTATGCTCATATGATTGGCCGTCGAATAGACGTATAAGCGGAAACGATGGAGGTCACGGTGTCAATTTAGGGTCGAGCTTATGCTCCTGTCCGTTTGGCCTCTTTCTCTCTTTCTCTCTCTGTGAACCATGGCACATGGTATCCTCGATGTTGTGGGCGCGATGTAAGCTAGCGTATATACAGGGTGTTTAGTTATTAAGTCACCCCACGAGGTCGTTTCGTTGACTTCCTATACGCCCTTTCGCAATCGCTGTGGGAATGGGGGACGCGACGCTCTCTATCAGTGCCCTGCAAAATCGCCGTCGTAATGATGCTTCAGGGCCCCGTGACGACATTATAAAGATCGTTCCACGGCTTCCCAATGTTACCGGACTTCATAGAGTCATATTCAGATTATATATTGCAAATTGTAAAGGGAATCTTTTTAATAAAATTGAAATACGCGCGATCGTCCAAGATATTAATTAACATCTATTATTTTTATCAAAGCTTTCACTTCTTTATTGCCATTGTCACGTCCGAAAGATTCTTGCGGAAATGCAAAAACGTAATAATTGTTACTAATTTAATTGAATGTCTAACATAAACATTTGTAATATATTACAATATAATCATATAAATAATAATTATTTATCATAAAGGGATTTAATAAAATATCACGAAACTGACATAATGTTCTATGTATTCATCATTTTGAAAGTATTATATATCGTATAATAACCGTGTAGTGTGTATAAATATTTATATTTTGATAAAAAAAAGATAATTTTAGTATAACATACAAATTTTATACTTTAGACGTCATCTTGTAGAATTTTTATTTTATTTTATAATTTTTAGAATTGTAAAAATGAAAAATTTGGAAATTATTTCAACGCTGTTATTATATCAAAAGTCTCAAAAATTGTATTATTAAGTAGTAATTCCAAACGTAGATGGTATACGAGGCTGTTCGCGATATTATAACGGGCGAAGAGCTTCTTCTGGGTCTTCGGGAGCCGCTTCAGCTGCAGGACATGCTGGGTGAAAATACGACCGAGGACAGAAGCGATCGAGAAACTGGTGAGCATCTGCAATTACACAAGTATTTGCGTTGAATAATCCCCTATATTTATTTTTTTATCATTTTTTTTTCTAATAAATAAAGCGTTACTTTATTCAAATATTTTAACCAATACAGAAAAAAGTATTAATTTAATTTATTTGTATATAATAGTTTCGTACTTCCATTCTTTTCATAACAAATGCATGCACTTATGATTCTTGTAATATAGCAAATTTGTTGATGAAATTTAAACTCATCAATGATTTGAACATCGATGATTTTATTTAATAAATAGTAAGTAAGTTTGGTAAACTAAATTTAAATAAGAAAATGGAAAATAAATGATGTATTAGTATTATTGTGGCGTAATATCTAGAAAATGGGAGTAGGAGCAGAAAATACAAAATAAAATAACACTCAGATGGCCGGCGAGATATCGGTGTTCACGATCGTTTCGGCACGGCTTTACGACTTTCTTTTGCCGATACACATCGCGCACGTTGGTAGCTCGTGCGCGTACAATTACGCGTATGAACGCAAATGAAGGGCAGGGGCAGGTGTTTTCCAAAACGACGAATCGGGGGCGGGCAGAGGGTAAATCGTGGATCGTTGTGTGCACGAGCTGCTCGTCATGCACCCTTGACTTTGGCGTGATTCACCTGGTCGACCGTTGCGTATTAACCCTCGTCCGGTAATAAGCGCTGATTATTTGCAGATAGACGTGTTCGAGTCACATGTCGCCGTGCCCCGTGCCGCTTCGAGTTTTGTCCAGAATCATCCTTCTCGCTCGTCGAACAAACTAAAATAGCAGCGCGATCAAATCAACACAGTCATAATTTTTCTTTCGTTCTTTGTTAAAATTATTATTATTTATTATACATTTATGAAATTGCATTATATGATTTAATAATGTTTACATTTATGCATAAATTTTTAATTTAAATTTGCTCAAAATTAAATCAAATTTTTGAAGATACTTTGCTCTCTTTTATCATAAAACATTTTTATTGTATTTTAATGTATCAATATTAAAATAAATATTGGTTTTCAAAATCTGCTTTAAAGCATTTTTTAATATCATTTTCATTTAATTAAATTCGTTAATCGATCGCTAGATTTTATTGCGTGGACAATTGCGCCATTAATATATTCGGGATATTTACGAAGAAGGGTAGCGTCTACGTGCTTAATTGCTCGACAATTATCTGGTTGTAACTTCTGCATGATGGTCAAAATCTGGATGGTGACTTGGTAGGGCCGAATTAAAGCCGGAGGATTATACGCGACATCCAGATGTCGCGATAATTAAAACCGGGCTTATTATCGAAGTTCTGCCGTCACAAAGTCTATGTTAATTTGCCCACAGTTTTTTGTCATAATTTTGAGAAATGCTCGTAAAATGAATCTTCGCACAGGAAAGATAATTTGCTTACTAATAGTTTCATTATTAAATTTTCCTTTGACAAAATCAGCGGAGATAAGTTTGTATTAGTAAAATGTTATTTTTATAACATGACTGAAAAATTACAAGACTGACATTTAACAAACAAGTTTGTAAAATTTTTTATAAATAACCATCTATAATTCTTAATATAAAATCAATAGAAATACAAAAGAATATATTTGTAATGTAGCGTCTCACTTGAATTCTTTTGATTGTTAAAAAATATTTTAGAAAATATCACATGTTATCATTTATTATATTAATGTATATGCAATATCATTTTAATGATAATAAATTCGCGAAGTTGTATCTGAGGAATTTTCTTTACTTTATATAAATTTTTTAAACTTGTTACTTTATTAATGAACAATGGATGGATAATACAATTTAATATATACTTAAAATTTTACGTTTATACGAAGTAGTTTGTAGACATCACAGTTATTTAATTAGTTTCGACATATGAGAGAGAAGCATTAGATAATAAATATTATTATCTATAAAATAATTAAAATCTTTTGTGCTGACGCCGATCTGGTGGATCTTTGTTTTCGGTGGACATGTATTTTTACACGTATTAAGGGAGATTAATACCGACTTTAAACATCACAAGTATGGTACTGGCGTTAATCCAGCAAAACCATTTTTACGAGGGAATCTCCGACAAGCTGGTGCGTGCAGCAGGAATAATGATGTCAAACAAACGACGTACGCTTCGTACCAACCCTTGCGAGAGGCATCTGCGCCGCGTCTCTCCCTCGGACGGATCATTTTTTCTGCTGAGAGGGAGACGGGGGGGGGGGGGCAAGGGGAGAGCGAAAGAAAAGATGCGAGGAATCATTTTAATACGCCTACATGGGGTGCGCGTAAGCATTCAACCGGGGTTGAATGTTAACGTAATCTTGTGCATTAGACATCTATATATCTACACTGAATATTCATATTAAAACATTTATATTCTATTTGCACGTGCCGTTTAGTCCGCCTTTAATATTAATTTTTTGTACATATAGATCTTTTTTTCTCTTTTTCTAATGTTATCGTATGGAAGAGATAATAGCTTAATAATATAAAAAATATTTTAATAACAAATAGTGAAGATATGATATTAAAATATCTTTTTAATGCTTTTGCAAATAAAAGAAAGGAAATTTAATGAATAATTCAAATAATCTGACAAATAATTGTAACTTATTTACAAATATATTTGTGCCAAATGTTTTCACTTGAATGTTTATTTAATGTCATAAAGATTTGTGAATACGATAATTTAATATCTACGTCAATTGCTGCATTATGACTTTTTGCAGACAAATTTGGACGTACGGACTTACATACGGACGTTTGAACTTACCACGAATTGAATTGTGGTAAAATGGCAAATGCAATTGCTGCGGGCAGTTATGATGACTTATGGCTGTGATTTTGTGCGGTACTTGTTTTTCTCCTGTCGTTTTCCTTTTTTTTGTTCCCAGGAAACGCTTTTGTGCCATCGGCGTGTTTTCCGATAGCTCTATTAGGGTAGCAGATAATTTATAGCCAACTATTGTCAATTAACACGCGCATAACCAGGTCTCAGGGACGACCGAAAAAAGGGCACGGGTCACAGAATGAGAAAAAAGGGGTATACGTATACAAAAGGGCACGCGACACTCTTTTCTGAGGGGGTGGTGTACTGAGAGGTAGGGAGGTGCGTGTGACATGTTACAACCCCATCTGATTCATCGGACTAATGACACATTTATTTGACGTTTGATTCGAAATCGCTACGGTCACATACGACAAATTTTTGCTGAAAGGTACAAGCAGATATCGATTTTTCGTTTATTTTATGGAGAAAAATATACGAGAATTAAATCTTTTAGTACAAAAGAAAAGAAAAGCTTTTATTTTTTTAGAAATAAAAAACTGCTTCTGCATTTGCATTATTATTTGAATAAAAATCTTTGAATAAAAAATTATTTCAACATTTTTTTTAGTTATACATATTATGACCTAATAGTAATATTTTAAGGAGTCAAGTTTTACAAAAAAGTTTTTAAATTTTTAATTTTTTGGATTATTTATGAAAGAATATAATTTGCACAGTTTAATTAAACAAAATTTAATGCAATTGTTTCATTTACTATGACTTGAGATTTTTGATTTTATTTGATGAAAATAAAGATAAATAAAATTTTTTGATAGAAAAAAAAGGATTAGCGATAAAGCAAATAAAAACGTAAATAAAACAGTGAATAAATTTATTTCAGTATATTTATTCATTCTTTTTTAATGAATAAAAATTTGAATTGTGAACGTCACGATGCAGCAAGAACATTGATTTCCGTTACTTTTTCCCATGCAACTGCCAACTGCTACTCGACCGCGGGGGGTGTTGCCAGTGAATCCCACCTGTTGACTTTCCGCAACGTGACTTTGCTACTCCTTGTACGCGATAGATTAACATAATACGTTCAACCGTTTCCATTAATTTTGGAGAAACGTTCATTCCGAAAATATCCGATATACTTAATTCACAAATTGTGACTTTTCTTTTATCTATATAGAAAAAATTCTTATTACAAATATATCAAAAAGATTGTTTTATATATAATATAGTTATAATTTATTTTTATATGTGTATTTATTCACATCAACTTTCTATTTATTTATAGTATCTCACGTATAAATTATTTATGTATAAATGACTATAGAGTTGCACTATGTTAGAAAATTTATATATATCGAAAAAAATTTTTAAGTTTTTATTTTTATGTCTTTTTCTTAGTTTTTCTGTTGTACTATAAATTAACATTTTTTTACCTATCATATTTGAGCATTATTTTATATCTTTGATTTTTTGATTATATTCTTATTTGTTAATAATTTATTTCCTATTTGGGTTGGTTTTTCAATACTACTATTTGGACGATGCTGTTTCGAGGATGACAGAGGTCGACCGCATCTTTCATTGTCTAAATTCACGGCATGCCGCTACGAATTAGTCGTGGAGAGAGGAGCGATTAACGTACTAAGGGGGGTTAGCGTAACGTTGGGCGTAGTTGGTGGTACGGGGGGGTTATGCCCGGTTCCCATGAAGGTCCGTTGGGGGCCATCACTCGACCATATGGTCGGAACAAGTGTAGCGGCAGATTTAAATAACCGTTGGAGTTCAGATATCGTTCAAACTCGAGTTAGATCATGTTTATATTCGTGATGTAAGAATCTAATTAATTTTTATACTTATTTAACAGGATTTTAACTTTATATTTTGCTTTCTGGCTTTGTTCGTTCATTAGCAATTATATCTATTTTTATATTTTTACATATTAATATATAAACAAACTTGATACATTGATACATCACAAATGATAGATAAATCTTTATGCGCATGTGTTAATATATATTATTTCGTGTACCATATTCTTTACGCAACCATTGATGTTAGTTGCAAATTCAATGGTAATCATATTCATGATAATCATGATAATCACACTTTGTATCTTTCATGGGTTTCTGATTTTACCTGCCGTTGCGCTCTGATATTCGGGGGTGAAATGCCGCTGAGGGGCTGTCGAGACTCACCTGCGATTGGCTGGTCCCCAACGTTGTTTGTACCAATAGCAAGCGATTCTGGACACCCCCATTCGTGTTTGCAATCACCGGACGGTGTACCGCCAACTAACGAGAACATCATTGTGTCTATTGTCTTTGCGATCGCTCGAGTATCGAATCATACTTGTTAAAAAAGTGACAGTGTAGTGAAGTAACTTGAATCGCGTTATAACATTATTTGTTTTTATAAACGCATAATCGTATTATAAATAATAGATATAAATCAACATTTGAGAACATTAACTTAAACGGTAAATATTTTATAAAATAATCATCTATTTCTATTTAATAAAATATTTTATTTATTTTACTAAAACAATTATAAATTTTTGTATATGTTGAAAATTAATTTTTAATTACGCAAACAACAAATTGTAATTCTAATTGTCTGACTTTTGAAAATGTATGTAAATATATATTAAAACCTAAATTAATTTTATATTTGATTAATGAAAAATTGAATCAACTAGTGCATATTTTATTTATTGTATTATGCATGTAATTTAAGGATTTAACAAAGCAGCTTAATTATTTAAATGTTATAGTGATTTGACGAATGAATTGCGCAAGCTCGACAAAAATTATTTTTACTATTTTTACTAATGTTAGTTAAATTATCGTTAAATTCCATAAAAATATCCGTTTTGTAAATCAGATATTGTCGTTAATTTAATAATTCAGGAAATTCAGGAGTCCACTTGTCACGCCACTCTTGTGGCACTCGCGCGGTTCTGGATCACGTAATTCGCCCACATCATGATAGGTCACGTATCATCGTTTGCAGGGGATTGTAATTTATAGAGCTGTACAATTACTCACATATACATGAACACAAATTGTTAGAGAATTGCAAGATTTTGCTGATGTGTATCATTACTGCTGGTGTATCGGAAAGACTTGTGATCTGTATTGTTATATTGGTCATTTACAGCCTCTCAACACAGTGGAACTATCGATGAGGATAAGGAGGACGAGGAGGAAGGAGAAACGAGGTGCACTGTCTGTGACAAGCCGTTCCAAGATATTGAACTGTGAGCATTATTTCATATTTTTAGATTAGAAATTATAGCAAAAATAATTTGTTATATGATTGTCAAAAAATAAAATATATTTACATATCTATATTTGAAAAATCATTACAAATGCATAAAGAAAACACTAAATATTCGAATATTTTTAGAAAGAAATTTTACATTTTTTTAAAAAAAAGTCATTTGTATGAAAAGTTTAAAACAATTTATCTTTCTGTCTCCCACGTAGACAAAAATGTCGCGCTTTAGTAACATCTAGATTGAGGACAGAACAATTTTTCGTATAGTCGCATTTATTATGCAAAAATTCTATCGAGTGCGAGACGCCTTTATTACCACATTTTCACGCATTCTATTATCCGAAGAATCGCCGTTAGTCCGACGATACAAAACGCGACTCATGAAGGATTCATAGCACATCATTATACGCTTTTCAAATCAGATGGACGACCATCACGTGCCCGGCGGAGCGATACACCGGATCGAAATCGAAAGACAACGGCTCGACCAACATTAAAGCGCTCGCTGCGTCCGTCGATTCTCATCGTTAATTATTAATTAATCGATGGAATTCAGAGAGTGGGCGCCACGTAATCACTTTCAAATCTCGGGGATACGCGTTCGCAAAAGCCTTTTGTCACGCGAGCGGTTTCAAGAGTGCTCTATGGAATTCTAAGCATTTCTTCGAGATTTCTCGTCCGATTGAATGCCTTCATTTGATCTCAGGTTCATATTATTGTTTTTAATTAAAATCTAATTAGCATAAAGTGACGGCAAGCAAAATAATATGAAATATTACGGTGTTTTATACTTAACTAAGCACATTGAAATATTGATGACTAATTAAAGAATGAGATTTTGTCATTAAGTACTAATAGGATACTTTATACCTTATTAGTTGGGAACTTGATCATACATTTCACATTTTAGTTGAACAATGGTATCGCATATTTAATTTTCGCATGTGTAAAAATCTATAGAATCATCTTATTAACTACAATAGTCATTCTGCCGAGAGTACATTTTAAATGAAAATACTTCTTTTCTCTTCCTAATTCCTTTCAAGATGAATTCATGTCGCCCTTTTATCTATTTCGTTTTGTTCTTCTTCTATTTTCCCTCATTTATATTGACACGCAACCTTTCTTAATCGTCATAACTTAATATATATTTATGATATTTGTTTTAATTAGAAAAATAATTTAAAAATAATTTAAGATAGACAAATCAAAATTTTGATCAAAGTTAATCGATTTTGATTCTTGTTTCTACATCGGCGATACCATTCTCGCTCTTAGTCGACATTAAACTACATCCCCCGGCAGATTCACCTGTTGTGAGACATTAAACCCTACAGATTTGTAATCGGGCGCACTAAAGCCACCCCCTTATGCATCATCGAAGGCGTCGCGTGCTCGCAGCTCATCTGGCGTAACACACCGTCATGCCACCATGAAGGCACTATCTCACCACGAATGAATTTCACGCGGCGCGTGTGTTCGGGGGTGTAAAATCAATGCTGCCACACACCATGGCACACTATCCAGTGTGACGATAACCCATGCCTATTCTGTGACAACCCCCCTCAGAACGGCTTTTCTTTGTGATGGCGTGTGTTCGTGCGCGATGGTCGCCTCCTTCTTCATGGGTGTGCGACCATTATTACACGAGAAACGACTTGCCGCAGCTAAAGTCACTTAGTCATCATCCAAGACTGCACTCGGTGCAGTCTTTGTCGGTGCAGGTCGGTTACCATATCACATCCTGCTTGCTCGAGAGAGATGTGGTGTGTTGATTAAGTAGATTAAATTTCAGATAGAAAAAAAAATGAGAAAAAGAGAAAGAAAGAGTAATGTCTAGTAATATTTTTATACGGCAATGAGATTACTGCTATTGCGCCGAATGTATAAATTTTTGAAGAAATGGAGAAAGATGTTTTGAATTATGTTATTCCTTGAGATGAATAGATCACGAATAGATCATATCCTTAACTTATTTTTACTTTTATGAATATTTATTATTTCATTTTTTGTCATCTACAATTTATTTTGTTACTTTTGTTACTGAATGTAATGTTCATCTTATTTATTTTCAGATTGGATAGTCATCTAGTGACGTGTCACAGATATCCAGCGGAGCAACATCGTTGCGACAGTTGTCCTCGCGCTTATGCTTGGCGACCGCTTTTGGTACGACATCGCGCAATCGTTCACGGTGATCTTAGGAACTATCCCTGTGAGAATTGTCCGAAGGTAAGCATCAAATTTATGCTTTACTCCTTGAAACCAGACAATATCTCCCAACTTAGTAGCATCTTCTAGTATCGCTAAAAGTCGAACATCCGGCAGGTCTTCACGGACCCATCAAACCTACAACGACATATTAGAACGCATCACGTGGGCGCGAGGAGCCACGCTTGCACGGAGTGCGGCAAGACCTTCGCTACCAGTTCCGGCCTGAAACAGCACACCCACATCCACAGCAGCGTGAAACCGTTCCAGTGCGAGGTCTGTTTTAAGGCTTACACGCAATTCTCCAATTTATGCCGGCACAAGCGCATGCATGCCGACTGTCGCATGCAGATTAAGTGCGCTAAATGCGGACAGTCCTTCAGCACGGTAACATCGTTATCGAAACATAAGCGATTTTGTGATTCCACGACGCCGGCCGGTCCACCTGGAGCTATGCCTCAGTTACCGACGCCAGCAACGAGCCCCTTCCTGGTGTATCCACGACCTCCCGTGAGCCTACCAGGCAGTTTGCCTTTTTATCCACCTAGTCTAATGGGTCCTTATCCGGGAATTTTCCCAAATCCTACGAATTTTTTGAACACACCTTTGCTGTTCCCGCCGAAGATCGAAGAGGCCGAGAAGAGGAGCGACAGTCCCAAGAAGGAACGTTTTACTCCTCCGAGAGGATTATCGCAACACAATAAAGTATCTCCTTCCACGGCGGAGGAAGCCACCTCTACGTTTAGGCCATCTCCAGCCAGACCTCCGGTTCAACCGACACCGGAGAGCGACGATGATCTTCTGAAGAGAAGAGAAATCGCCAGAAGCAACGAACGAAAAATGGAAACCGAGAGCACTTCGAATGCATCGAAGGAGGAGACAGCCGAACAACCGTTGGATCTAAGGGTGCAGACTAAGAAGCAGGACGCCATTTCGAAAGTCGCGAATAGGAAAAGCCGCACTCCATCACCATCACCGATATCGATGGAGGAGGCACCGGCACCTCCCGACCCCCCAAAACCAGAAGAAGATGTTGCTCCTCCAGCACCGATGGAGCTCGAGTCTAAGGACATTCAAGAAAGTCCGCAACTAAGGACAAGTCTACCAATCGAACAACCGTCGACCAATACACCGCCACACATGGCTTATCCCAGACCGATACACCCAATGTTTCTCGACACGATGTATCGCGGTCCAACGGGAGCCTTCCCGGGATTTCCCAGCGCCCCGCCGCCTCCAGGCGGAGCTACGCCGGAATCTAGGCTGATACCTCCACTTCCACCCTTCGCTCCACCCCGCGGGCTTCCTTTTTTAGGCTCGCTTATGAACGGGCTCAGCGGCGCTAGGCCAGGAGGAGGATTCGATTTACTTGCCCGGCCGCCGCTGAGCGCGTTCCCCGGCGTGAAGCCGTTCCAGGAAGCCGTGATGGCGCCGCACCATCACCACCATCATCATCACCATCATCACGTCCACGGCAAAATGAAGGATCGGTACTCCTGTAAATTCTGCGGCAAAGTGTTCCCTCGCTCGGCCAATCTGACGAGGCACCTGAGAACGCATACCGGCGAGCAACCGTATAAGTGTAAGTACTGCGAAAGATCCTTCAGTATCTCGAGCAATCTGCAGAGACACGTCAGGAACATCCACGACAAGCAGCGGCCGTTCAAGTGTCCGCTTTGCGAAAGGTGCTTCGGACAGCAGACCAATTTGGATAGACATCTGAAGAAGCATGAGGCTGACGACGGTAGCGGGGTGGTGTCGGTCGCCGACTCGCCCGGGAGCAGCAACGAGAACGAGCGGGAGGACACCTACTTCGACGAGATCAGGTCCTTCATGGGCAAGGTGACTTACGGCGGCGAGAGCGGCTACGGATCCTTGCCGCATCATCCAACCTATATTCCCAGTCGCCTGCACGAGATGAACGAGTCCAAGATGGAGGTCGAGTATGACGAGGACGAGGACAGCGAGGAGGGTGTGTCTCCTTTGGAGGAGACAGACGGACTGTCGCCGATCGAGGCCAAGGAATCACCGTCGCCCTCACAGTACGATCTGAAACTTAGAGAGAAGCAGGAGCTGCTCAATAATAACACCGCGGAGGGGTGATCGAGATTTCGACATAGCCCAGAGGTCAGTCTGGGTGATCTGCGCGATCGCTTCGAAGAACGAGGAGAACTCGTTTTCATTAATGTACAGAACTATCGCGGGACATATCGCGTTTGTCTTAGAACTCTCGATTGACGTTACCTCGATGGGAGTAACGTTGACGCATAATTCTTTAACTTAGAGTGACCCGTGTATTTTGACTTTGCGGAACATCACCCATTTGCTTCTACAAAGCGAACGCTTCTCGAGTATAATTGGGTTATTCTCTGCGATACGCATGATGATACCGTAAATTCACGAAAGAAAATCTATAGTAATAATTATAATTACATATTGATATATCCATTCTGGAATTTTTAGAAAAATACAACCAGAAGGGATTTATTGAACCCTATTATACTTGTAAAACAGGTGCTCTGTAAAAAGAGGAATATAAATAACTCGACAAACGAATGTCCCCGGAGATCCTTGTTACACAATCCTTTTTTACACTCCACGTTTGTTTGCACTGGAAAAGCATATTGTAAAGATCAAGAAATGGACCAGTTAATCTTTTTCTTATACACGCATGTCACAAGCTCTTCTATAGTCTATAGTTCTACAGTTTCTACAGACTCGTTATGAATGTAAACGCGCACGAAATTTAATATTATCCCTCTATTATCTTCGTCCTTAATGTCGATTAGACGAAGCGCGTATATCTATTATTTATTGCTATTATTAATAAAATTAATTTATCGTTATTATTACATCGTCGCTCGCGGCAAAGAATATCATATGTCATAAGCGAGAACGATCAAAGCATCTCTGCGAAAGTTCCGCGATTTGTTAAACGCCTTGCGATATGTGTATGTGTGCGTGTGTGCGTGCGTGTGTGCGTGCGTGCGTGCGTGCGTGCGTGCGTGCGCGCACGCGCGCGTGTGTGTGTGTGTTCACTCCGATCAATGATTCAATCACCGTTATTTCTAGATCTTAAATATATCTTCATGTGCGCGTTATTCTCGACTGATTTGTTTTTGGATGACAGTGTTAGTTGCATCGCGTTCAGAATGCGGGCACCATCCGAGAGTTCGAAATTAGATTGTTGTAAAATTCCTATGGTAAGATGACTGTAATCTCTTCAATCAGTTCAAATCTTGAAGACGTTTCCCCGTGATCGTTGAATTTTGTTAGAAATATAGCTGAGTAAAGTGGTATATTACGCAGGAAGAAAAATTATCGTCTGCTGGATGAAGCTGCGAGATCGATCTACGAAATCTGCGAAATATGAGGAAAGCACATTCTCGCATCGTGTTCCGTGTATTAAAATTGATGTATGTTAGTCCGCGAAGCTGAAGCGACGAGAGGAGAAATTAGCGCGTTGCGCGGAATCATTTGTTACACGCGCGCGATAAAAAGTGTGTATAATGAAATGATTAGGACGCAACAAAAAATCTTACGAAAAACTGTACAAATTTCCACAATTAGGTGATGTAGTATTTGTAAAGATAAAAGGAAAAAAATTTCAGCGTGATTTTTATTAATATATAAATACGATTTTAGAGAGAGATTTTCTCTTGCATTAGGCGGGACAGAAGAGTCATGTAAGCTAACAAACGTTCCTCGCATTTCACCTAATAGATATATTAAAATGCGTGTCCCTAATGTGTCATCGACGAAGCGAGGAAATTAATAATGATGAGAAATAAGCATAGTATACGCGTTTACATGTGTACCAAGTACGCTCGCGATTAATAAAAAATGAAACAAAGAATATATCGTTCGTTTGTAATCACCGAGTTGGGGGGCGTTGTTTTTTCTACATAAAGGTTTTACGTAATACACATCTCTACATATCTGTTTTTATTCTCTCTATTTCTCTCTATCTATTTCTCTCTCTCTCTCTCTCTCTCATTATAGATGATAATAAACTTATGAAATGATTAAGCATAAATATATTGAACGAATTACTTAAGGAAAACTGTATTATGACGCTGTCTATCTATACATACTGTATAAAGGCATCCTGTAACTTCATTTATGATTACTATTAAAATATTACACTTCAAGTTGATTACCTAAACGATAATGCCACCTATCGATTTTCCTTTGCCTTATATTCCTATAAGAAAATAATAATTTAATAGGATTTAATAAATTATAATTTTATTATTTTCTACATGGAACTGATAAACATTTAGCTGATAAAACATAACATAATAACATAACATAACATAACATAATATAACATAAATAAAATGTAAAATGAACGACATTATATGCTTCTTGAATAATTATGAATTATTATTATAACGATTGTTGATGCGAAGACAGATAAAGTAAACTGAAACAAATTAAAACTTTTGCTTTCTAAAAAATATATTTTTTACGTAAAACTATTAATTTTTTAATAATTAGAAAGATATTAGACATTAATGTATTATTAATTATAATATTATTATTTGTTTATTAACCAATAATCACCATGAAAATTACAAGAATAAAAGATAAAATTATATTTGTTACTTTTATTAATTAAAAATATTTAAAACTATCTGTTTTCATAGTCACCTTATTTCTAAAATATAACATGTCTCAATTTTTAAGATTAAAAGTTAATATACAATAAAGTATTTCTTCAATACTTGACCGTTCTATTGATTTGTGCTGCGCTCTAGTGCTGCATACTTTGAGATAAAGTATTTGATATTTAGATCAAATAATAGAAAATAAATTGCAAAAAAAATCACAAAAATTAAAAAATGAATACAACGATATATAATCAATTTGTACAATTTTTATTAAAACAATTTAAATTTATGTAAAATACCAAAAGACTCCTCTTTTATCGACGATAAATAAGATCTGCTCTAAAGGCAAGATACACTGCAACCAACTCCATTCATTCTTAAGGCGCTAGATTACGCTTTATCCCTCAACTTGTTTCATTCAGCAACAGTTATTTTTAATTATAAAAAAAAAGAAATATACTTTTTTTTAAATTAAAAGTAAATTTTACGTATAAATGATTACAAATTATTTTTTTCTTGGAATTCTTGATAATATTGATAAACCTAACACACGTTAAAAAATTGTTTATAATCTTTATTGTCAGTTTAACATTGATAGTTTAAAAATTATAGAAGAAATGTTGTATATGATATAAAATAAAATCCCACAGCTTTCAATGATTAGACGAATTAATTGACGACTGACCTGGCGTTGAATTAATGAAGGTTGAACTTTGTCTATACGTACGATCGTTTGAATCGATCCTCGACGCCCACTCGATCCGATTGTATTATCGTACTCCATTCGATCCCATTCAAGTCTGTCTGACTGAACAACAATGTTTCGCGCATACACTACATAAATACTCTTATCTTTGAATCGCCACAAAGAAAACAAGTAAACGCTGCCACAAGTAATTTAAGACGGTATATAATAGTTATTATTCTAATAACATAATTTAATTGAATTGCACTAATAAAAGACGCAGATTATTTTTTATCTATAATTTTCTTCTGTAAATTAAACTTTACTTTACTTATTTTAAGTGAATTATTCTTCCATATTTATCCTTATAGTAAAATATAATCAATAATTAATTGTTATATTTTCTCCTTGATATATATAAACAAGTATTATTATCTTTTTGCATTTTCGTGATATATTTATGGATCTCTGCTGTATATAAGCACGTATCCCAAGGTGATAACATTGTTGCGTAAAGATATCGCGGAAGAAACTTGGAAACACGCTCTCTAGCTTATGTTTTAAATAAAAATTCAAATTCTAAACAATTTTCTGGTTGGCAAAGCAGAAGTGAATGCAGTTATAGAGACAAACCGATGATTCTGATGAAATTTTATTGCAATTTGTTATAACTCTCCTAAATATTTCTCCTATTTATTTACGTAAAAAATGCATCGCTTCTCGTTCAATCAAGCTCGCAGTTTGATTTGATTGCAGAAAGAGCAGCTGTCTTCATCAACAGAACTGTAAAAAGCTGACATCTACGTATCACATAATTATCACTTATTGCGATGTGAAGCCAAGATTTTTTGCCACGTTGATGAAGGGCACGGACGAGGCAATCAAGAGAGTAAGTAGGTGAAAAGGAGAAAGTATTATAGAAATACAAGATAAAATTTTTAATGAATTTGGACGATAATTCTTGTATTATCAGGAAAGTATAAAAATATTAAAATACACTTATAAGTTTTGTTTTTGAATATAAATATAAAGTGTAACATATGGAGAACATAATGGAGAAATATTATTTTGTAACAGAAAAAAAATATATATATATATGTAATAAATCTACCATATCCCTATCTTTTTTTGTCTATAAAATGTTCAATGAAAGGTGATAATCAGTGAAGCAGGGCGTTCGCTTTCAAGTAGAAAGATCGCCAATCGATCGTACTGAAAGTATCGACGGCGCTTCCGAAATTCTGGTAGCGCGGTCGATGCGAATAAAGAAAAACTAGAGTACGTAGTCAAAGAAAAGGAGATAGCGGGGAGACGAAGACGAGATGAATTCGTCGTTTGTTCGTTGCGAAAAGGAATTGGCACTGGGCTTTGTAGCTCATAAAACGGAGACGGAGGTATCGGCGATCGGACCGAGCCACAAAAGAGCGGCCGAGACAAGCGCGAGCGAGCCTACAACGGCATCGATGAGGCAATAATTCTACGCGCCAACGAACATTATTGCCAACGTGACGTTGACAAAAACGGGCCGAGCTAATCACGAAATTCCATGCGATCTCCGGTCTCCGGAGCGGACCCGCGCGTTTAGAAAGTGGAAAAAATCGTCGACCGGCTCGATCGATCGACGCTAGCTAGCGGTATAGATCACCGATAGAACACCGGTACGTCGCTAATAGCTGGTGCTCCGCTTATCTATTATCTATGACCGCGACTTTTAATTAACTCGTGATCGCGAAAAATCTTTTTAGTCTCGGAGTTGCGCAAATCGGCCGATTTTTGTTAGATACGGATCTTAATGGAATTAAAATCGAGTGACTGCGCATGTAACAAATTTAGATATTAATTAATCACAAAGTTAATTGTTCGTTGTTTTTACAAAGTCAAGTCAGTACAACCGCACAACTTTTCCAAACCAAAGTGATATTTCGCTAAAAGCAGAAAGAAGAAAAGGAAAAGGAGGATTGGCAATGCAACGCACATTTACAACAGATTTATTTTCGAATTCTAAAGTAAATTAGAATGTGAGATTATTCGCTGCGTTTGAGCATTAATTGAATCTCGCGAGCTCGCGAGATCGTCGAATCCTGTTTCGCGCGGATATCAGACTCTCCTTTTAGGACACCGAGCGGCGACCAGCTAGTCTCGAGTCTCGGGACTCGCTCGTTTTTCTTATTTCTCATCTCTCGGCACGTCGCGCGTCTCCTTTCATTTTAACGCATGATCGCACACCCGATCTGACCGGCAACACACCCACCGATCTCTAATCCCGCCGTGTATACGCAGAGAGACGACCGGTCGGGCTCGTAGATCGTGGAATAGAAAACGAATAAGCCCCGCTTGAGAGAAAGATGCACGGTGGTTATTTATGGCGTTTACAAATAATTTCCCGACCGATAAATTATGCGTTCGGAGACGAAATTATTTTCACCCGATGAATAACGGAATATAAGTAATAATAGCGTAATAATAATAAATTTACGGTTCGCCCTGTCAAAAAATTCCTCTTAACTTCAATATATCATTATCGCGATAATCAGCTTCCATGTGGTTTCACGCTGCTCGAGGACTCTAATAAGCTCGAGCTGTCCAACGTGAAGCTATGCGAAGGATGCTGTCGATAGCCTTGAAGATTTGCGCGATATTTTATTAACTACTTGAGGAGATGCTCGTGCAATCATCGTTTTGCATATATGATTGTTACAAAAACTTGTCACGATCAACATCTTCTTCTACATAGTTATATAATTAACTCGATCACCGCCGCCTACAACGATTCTCAATACATACAGCAAAACCACATCTGCGACTTTGTAAATATAAAATGGCAATGCTTTTTAAAAAAAATTTACACAAATTGTTTCCCATTTTATTTTTTACCGTTTCGACATTTATACCCTCTAGATAATATTTATTAGCTATTTTAATAATTTATATATAATTTTATGTAATTTATATATAAAAGTATATTTCTTTTTAATTCAATTCATCTTATTTAAAATGTTTGCAAAAAAGCAGTAGCTTTGTAACATCTTAGATTTATTATATTTTTTTTAATTTTATATAACTTTGGCAATATAAAATTTTTAAAAATGTAATTGTTTATTGAAAAATATATAGTGCTATTTGTTGCATTTGTTGTAAACGTAATGTAAACGTAATCATTTATTAATTTTTTTAATACAAATACTTTAAAAAAGCAGTATCTATGTTTGATTAATCACTTTCCATTTATCACATAAGAATTGATTAAAAAAAGAGTCTCGATCAGTTTTTCCTCTTGTTCAGCTCTGTGAAAGATAATGAATCGCGTGTCAACTGTGTGATAGTATCGTGCGTTCATCTGGACGTATGCAGGAAGGACATTCATATCTAGGAAGACAAGCTTGAAAGACTCTCCCTCTCTCCCTCTTTCTCTCTGTCTCTCTCTCTCTCTCTCTTTCTTTCTCAAGACGCCTAAGCAAATCGGTTTACATTACTTTCACTGTTCAGCGAAGTTCAGTCGGACTTGTCAGGACAGCCTTTCGTTCTTATCGTTCTCATTTCTATTATTGGATTTTCTCGTAAAATAGAAAAAAAGACAGAGAGGAAAATCGATTTACATCAGGCATGAAACGATAATTCGTCTCACGATTGCCTGATGACTCTCCTTTAATATCAACACAATGAAGAAAAAGAATGAGGTGTATGATTAAAAGCCGGTCGTCAGAAAAAGATGCACAGCTAACGTCGCTGACTCAGCCAATTTGCTAAACGTGATAGCGAACGACTAGATGAATTCCGTTCTCCAATTATTTATTCAATCACAATTAGAATATATAGAATATGCTGTTATTTTTACACTCACAGATATGTTGCT